TATACACAATCGAGCGCGATCGAGCCTAGTCGGGCTCGATCGGGGTCGAGTCGGCGCGAAAATATTCGTCAACAGCTTGGCTCTCAAAATTCTCCTAAACAGGGGAGACGCGGGGAGGCTGCCGAAATTCAGACCACAGGGAACAGAACTTGAACAACTCACAATGAACTGAAATTGCATTCAAACAACAGGGAACTAGACATTAAATTGATAAATCTACAATCACACTGAAACTATAAATACTAAATGACAATCTAGGTTATTCGACTGAACATCAATGAACAAGCATAAGACAAGCGGTGAACGAATATGTTAAACCAACTTGCAAGCAACAATGATCAATATGTAAGCAAACGTACTAGTTTCCTATGAATACAAGAAAGCCAGTATGCAGGTGAATGTAGCAACCTTTCAATCAATGTGTGTAGGGAAATCAACAATGAATGCAGCTCACCCGGCAATCAATATTAACTTGTCAATGAACACACTCATTCGCTCGCAAGCAATAATACTGACAGCCACCCTACAAACACACTCAAGAATATTGCGACGAATGCAATAGCACATTCATGAGCAAAACATTAGAGGCATGCAACAAATAGAACAATCTCCCTACAACATTAACTTACTACAACATTAACTTACAAACAAGTGTATCATTCCCTTGTGAAATGAACGTAGCAACTTGTTAGTCACCGTGCATAGAGAAATTTGTGGCTAATGCAGCCCAACTGACAGTCAATAGTAACATGCAAGCTAGCACACTAAATTTGCTTGCTACGATTCACCTGTAAGAAAAAACAAGGAATTTGCAGTAAAAAAAATTGTGGGTCATTGGTAAACTGAGACAAAAAATTTGCGGCACCAGACTGTTAAACCAAATAAATCAGACCACTTGCAAACAACAGGTGGAAGATGACTGATGTGACGTGCAGCTCATTTGCAAACAAAAATGCATTCATGCAAGCTAAGTACTAAAGAAAATGACAACATGCATAAGACAAAAATGAGATAAACCACACCGTCGAAGCACGACGAATGAAATCTAACACGCTTCTAAACGAAGCCACCAGATCCACAACTCATACAAGTGGATAGAAGGTGTTTACATTAAACCATGTATGAATATTATAAAAACACCCCCTAATGCATCGAAATGCATGATGACACATTAATTAACACAGATACATTTGCAATATGCAGCGTGCATCATGCAACTGCTCACTCAATACGCAAACTAAACCACTGTGGCGACAAATTGCATTAACATGCAAAATGCATCGTGCATATACATTTTGTGACATACAAAATACATTACGCAAGTGTACAACATTAGCATATAATGATTGCATATAGTTAGAATTGAGAAGACATGTTGCAGACATCCTCACCTAACATATAAATGTACCACATATATATACATTGTTGCATACAAAATACACATTACAATATGCATCATGCAAACAGACCATGCAAGATGCAAATACATATGTTAATATACATGCAAATATATAAATGTGTATGTGAGTATGTTAATATGTGTTAAGATGCAAATGAAAGTATAAGCGTTTGCGTGAATATGCAGATGTGTCATATACACAGTATTGCATACATACGCCACCATATAGGCATATTATGCAAAATACATTCAACAACATATACTCGCATGGGCCCCGAAAAGTGTGTTGCATGAACAAACGTGACGTCTGAGGATGTTGCGCAGGTCAAACATGAATCCAAGTTCAATCTGATACTTCTTCTAAAAAGGATAGGAGTTTATACAAGACTTGAACCAACGAACAAATATGCGATCATAGCGTGAACCGGAATATTTATTTTATACGTTCATATTAGACGTTCAAGGTCTATTACAAGAAAGATTAATTAATAAAGGTACGAAGCCGATGACGGACCCAACCATCTGTCGACAAGTAGACAGAGTCAACAAGGTCCACCCGAAATCCCCGATGACAACCGTATTGATAGAAAATCTCAACCGGAGAGGACCCCAAACATTCAAAATGCCTTCAAATTCTCATAAAATACATTTAATTAATTTTAACGTATTAATGAACGATATCAATGTTAAAAATTGAAACAAAATACCAAAATACCCATATATACCCTCCCTAATAGGTTTTCGAGATGGACAAAATTGAAAAATACTTCATCTCACAAAGAATAAATGACTAGTCGAGAATATCATTAAGATTCATTTTGAAAGCATCTCTTGCCGGTAAGGACGTGGCGCATGTCCTCTAAACGGTGGTATTGTCGCCAAATGATATCACAAGTAAATGGTTATGACGAAGACCTCTGACTGGGTGATTTTGCTATCAAATGACAACATTAAATTACGATCATGGTTAGAGCCCGTATGTTCCCTAACGACGTTAAATCTTTAAGTTATAAATCCATAAGATATAACCAATAGGGCACAAAGCCTTCTATTAGCTAAGGTGGATTCAAATTTGTCCCCTTAAGCAAATCCACCCCAGGTCTAAAAGATACCTTTCGATGAAGCAACCCATGGTTGTTGACAAGAATCCTTCGGTTAGGTTGGGTCGACTACCTCCTCTGACTAAGTAGACTAGGATCATGATGCCCCGGGACGTCGGAACCATGTGATCTTGATCAGGTTATCATCATTTTCCCCATCATCCGCTTTAAATACAAGGTGATAAATGTTAAATTTTAAATACATAAACATGCTGCTACTATACACCGAATACTGTGTATTTGTTTGACGACTAGCCTTAATCAAAAGTTCTCTCCCACTATCAGGAGGGACAATTAACTATAGGGGTTTGCGCCTATAGGAAACCTAAACTTAAATCATAAAGTCCTCGCAAAATGAAAGCTAAATTCCTAGGTAATGTCTTATTCAAAATCCAATATTTATTCTGAAAATTTGCCTAGGAACCTAAATGTTAAAGCTCTCCTCGATGATCCAACACCAAAAAAAAAAAAGAAAGTGGCTGCAGAGAGGCTGGGGGACGAATTTTTGGAGCCCAAAACAAGCTACAGGCTCTGATATCAATTGATGTTGTGGATCATCAGAAAAAATGATCTGCTAGAAGAACAAACCAAAGAACAACAGAGAATAACAAATAACAACAGAGAATAACCCAAATAATTCAAAAGATAATGTATATTTTCCTATCTCCCTCCTTGCACCATTATTTGCATATATAATGGCAATAGAATATTCTAGAAAACAAAAAGGTAAACTAGACCCATGTTCTAATATAACTATAATGTTCTACATCATTGAGCCAACAAATGAAAGAAATTATAAAAGCACTGCACCTTATGCTATGCAATGCTATGCTTTCGTTTTATGCAGTAAATTCATACATTTTACACAAAATCACTTTGTCATATCTGTTGACCTATGTACAATACTCAAGAGAAAGAAAAAAAAACGAACTCATACCTTGACTGTCGGATCCTCAAAATCTGCCGGAATCGCGCCGATTCGGCGCCGTTTGCAATCAAATCCCGTAAATCCTGCGATGTTGCCTCGGTCGAGCGTCCACACCCGTCGTTAAATACACGACCGAACGAAACTCTTTGGCCGTTCGAAAATCCCAAACGAAGCTCTCAACTCTCGTAGCTCCTTCCACGTGATATCACAAGTAAATGGTTATGACGAAGACCTCTGACTGGGTGATTTTGCTGTCAAATAACAACATTAAATTACGATCATGGTCAGAGCCCGTATGTTCCCTAACGACGTTAAATCTTTAAGTTATAAATCCATAAGATATAACCGATAGGGCACAAAGCCTTCTATTAGCTAAGGTGGATTCAAATTTGTCCCCTTAAGCAAATCCACCCAGGTCTAAAAGATATTCGGTTAGGTTGGGTCGACTACCTCCTCTGACTAAGTAGACTAGGATCATGATGACTCGGGACGTCGGAACCATGTGATCTTGATCAGGTTATCATCATTTTCCCCATCATCCGCTTTAAATACAAGGTGATAAATGTTAAATTTTAAATACATAAACATGCTGCTACTATACACCGAATACTGTGTATCTGTTTGACGACTAGCCTTAATCAAAAGTTCTCTCCTACTATCAGGAGGGGCAATTAACTATAGGGGTTTGCGCCTATAGGAAACCTAAACTTAAATCATAAAGTCCTCGCAAAATGAGAGCTAAATTCCTAGGTAATGTCTTATTCAAAATCCAATATGTATTCTGAAAATTTGCCTAGGAAACTAAACGTTAAAGCTCTCCTCGATGATCCAACACCAAAAAAAAAAAAAGTGGCTGCAGAGAGGCTGGAGGACGAATTTTTGGAGCCCACAACAAGCTACAGGCTCTGATATCAATTGATGTTGTGGATCATCAGAAGAAATGATCTGCTAGAAGAACAAACCAAAGAACAACAGAGAATAACCCAAATAATTCAAAAGATAATGTATATTTTTCTATCTCCCTCCTTGCACCATTATTCGCATATATAATGGCAATAGAATATTCTAGAAAACAAAAAGGTAAACTAGACCCATGTTCTAATATAACTATAATGTTCTACATCATTGAGCCAACAGATGAAAGAAATTATAAAAGCACTGCACCTTATGCTATGCAATGCTCTGCTTTCGTTTTATGCAGTAAATTCATACATTTTACACAAAATCACTTTGTCATATCTTAATCAATTTATTAATTTAAATAGTTTTATTTAATCAAATAGACTTGAAAATTGAGCCAATGCTAGCCGTAATATTTGGTCCATGACCAGCTCCAGATCAAATTCTCTTGGTCAGTTTAGATTTTTTGGAGCAGATAAAAGCCTGCAGTGTTTTCTGTATCGGCCAAATTGAATTATATGACCCTTATACATCCCTGTCTCTAAGCTTTAGCTTCACTAACTTGAGGATTAAGGAAAAATTAAGTTTTGCTAGGAATAGATCATCCTAGAAAGAATTGTTCAAGATCAATTTAATCAAATAGATTATATGCTATTACAAAAGTTCGCTGTACCTTAAGTTTCCTCTTCTCATCAACCCAAGACATGAATGTTCCTAAATCTCCACTGAGAGCTGGTGGAGCTAATGGTTGCTTTCCCAACACTACCTCTCCAGTTGATCCGTTTAGAGAAAGCCAGTCACCTTCGTGTATCACCTTGTCTCCAACAGCAATAATCTAAGAGGCACATGAAAAATAAGAAACCAAAGCTTAATAAACCATCATGAATTATAAAAGATGCGTAATTCAACTATCAAGATGCAAACTAGAGAAGATGCACGTATTTTTAAATTAAAGACAGGAAAAAAAAGAAAATCAATGTGTCATGACAATGAAAATGAACTATCATTTTGGAAGCGCACAATTGATCCACCCTCTACAAATTTTAAAACAAAACCTTCACCGACAATAGGATTTGAGCCTGCGCAGGTTTGAATCCATTGTCAACGCAATACTTGTTTCCAATCTTTAAAGGTTAAGCTTGGAGAAGTTGCTAAGTTGCCTGTCCTGAAAATAGTATCTTAGCAAAGCAAGGGTAAGGCAGTATGCATCACCCCCTACCCAAAGCTCGCATTGGCGGAAACTTAATGCAACGGATGCGCCTTTATTTGTGTGTGTGTGAAGGATGATTGCTTTTCTCTTACTTTTTCAGTTGAAATTCAATATATGGCCACTAAAAAATCTAAAACACGTTTATATAAGGGGAAACAAGCCATATTACCTTCTGTGATTCACTGATACGAATATCAGAGCAGCCGGATATACAACATTTCCCCCACCCGCGAGCCACAACAGCCGCATGAGAAGTCATGCCACCTCTGGCAGTCAGAATTCCAGCAGCTGCATGCATGCCCCCAACATCCTCTGGACTGGTTTCTGTCCGTACCTTAAGAGATGAAAACAAATAATCAAATTCAGAAAGCAATACAAGCCTACTTGTATTCGGTAAAGGGTCCTAAGGCTTAAATATAACTCATTAGTGGTTCATGGTGAGCTTAATCTAACTATTAATGTGGCCCAAGGTTCATTTGCATGATTTAACACATACGGTACTTGATATATTTCCGGTCGTAACTTATTTCATGTGAAAACCGTCAAAAACATACATAAGATTTTCAAACATAAGCTTTAACGAGTTAGCAAGATTTTAGGAAGTCTACGGGAAGAAGAAAATTTGCTTATTTCGCCACTGAAAATGTCAGATTTTCCAGTGAAGAATAACAAATCTAAACATCAAATAAATTAAAATATTACATAAGTAGAACAGTTTACAAAGTCAGGAAATGTACCGTACGTAGTAGACTTGTATCTATTCATCTGCTAGCTGCTGTTTTGATATCATGAAAAAAGATGGAGCATATTTATAAATATCACAAGTAATACCAAGAGTTGTTTTTTCTTAATTTTGAAATTCAAAAATAAAAATGCCTAAAAGACGGACGTTATGAACGTAGCAAAGAGATGATTTTAAAGGAATTTCAAATATTTCAAGAAGGAAATAATGATAGGAAGCTCCAGTGCAACTCATTTTGTTGTTTGTTATTAGAAAATATGATTTAAGAAACATGACTTCATTTTCATGCATTTTTAGTGCTAAAATGATCTCTCACTTTAGAGGGAACTTTGGGAAGGTTTTGTTGACCAAATCTCTGGGTAGTGTCTTATCTACAAACCCATCTGTCTTCCAAAATTTACCTCGGAACATATTCAGTTAAAACTCCCTCGCCGAAAAAGAAAAGCGAGCGGAGGCCGGGGCCGAATTTTCGGAGCCCACAGGTTTGTAGAATTTGAACCAATCAAATATTGGTTTAATAAATAGCATTGTCCGTCAAACATGATTTCTAACTTCAAGCAACTAAATGAGCCTTCACATTAATACAGAAATATGAGAAAACTTGTTCTGTAGTAACGTTGCTCACTTTTCTGTTTTAAAGCAGAAAATAAGTGCAACTAATAGGTTTGACTGAAATAACTTGCTTAATATTCTAAAAACAAAGACCCCAAGTTTACAAAGTTTCAAGAGACATCCTACGGGTTACTCAACTACTCATCATGATTATCATTCGGCTTATCACAACTACTAGCATCGACTTAATCAATCCTCACTTTGAATTTGTTCTTAGTGTGTGCAGAATTAGGAGTTAAACCTAATCAGCACAACTCTTTCCGCACAACTATCCAAGTTGACATTGGATGCTCTAGGGGCATGATTTCACAGGTTTCAAAATATTATTTCAGTTACCAACTTCCAATTTGCTTTTATAGCATAATGAAGTCATTACACAGTGTATAATCATTTCTTTAGTATTTTCATTGCACAAAGCAAATTTTAAGAATATCCCAGGGAAAGGACTGTTTGTTATTCCATTACTTTTATAACATAAAAATGTTACTGTCATAAAAATGAAAAATACAGGAAAATAAAAAGTGAAAGAAACAATGGCTAAAATGGCCTTGGCTACATGTATCGTTATTGTTCTACTAAATATAAAAATCTTTCGTGATGCTTTCGTCAAGTGCCATATAACAACAGCCTTAACCTTTTTTAAAAGTAAATCTGGCAAAAAATTAACATTAACAATGCAAATATAAGGATAAGGTATAGTCATAATGTAATAAAATATTATCAGGAAGCAATATACAAGCGCCTCGTTGTATCCTAAGCATACACACAGGCCAGCTAGACGCATGCCTTGGAAAGCAGGGTTTAGAAGATACTGGAATTGCATCGATATTGAGACCCTTCGGGATGAATGATTTACCAGAATGGCACTCTTCCCCTGTGCATGCCATGTCTCAGCATCTTCAGCAGTAAATACAACTTGACCAACTGCAGCACCAGGTGATGCAGGCAAGCCAGTAGCAATGACTTGGTCCTTGTATGCTGATGGATTTTCAAACTGTGAGAATAAAAAGATGAGCAAAAGCAATGCTTACACTTGAATGCCTCTGTAACAGATTGCAACAGTGAAGATGGAAATTCTAACTCCATAAGAATTCAATGGAATGGCTACCCTTCTTTTCAGCATACCTGTGGATGGAGAAGTTGATCTAGATGGCCTGGTTCCACCATCTTGATAGCAGAGTTAATATCAACAAGGCCTTCCTTAACCATATCCACAGCAATTTTCACAGCGCCTTTGCCAGTACGCTTCCCAATTCGACACTGCAACATCCACAGCCTATTTTCTTGAACAGTGAATTCAATGTCCTGTTGTGTGCAAAAAAAAAAAAGTTAGTTAAACTATCATTATTTATTCTTTTAGCATTTCTTTCCCAGAAGAAAAAATATTCCCAAAATGAAAAGTATCAAAAGTGCTTCACATGTGAGAAGAGAACAAAATTGACCAGTTGCGTATGTATGAAAAATTTCTTACCATCATATCTTTATAATGCCTCTCTAGAATGCTACAATTCTCTACAAGTTCATTGTAGGCTTCTGGCATTCGGAGTTTCATGGTGTCCAAATCCTCTGGTGTCCTAATTCCTGCAACTACATCCTCTCCCTGTTACATGACCACAAATTTCCTAGAGTAAATAAAAGACACCACCTGCGGTAGATGCTGAAATATAAATAATAATACAAAAAAGGAACCAATTATGAAAACTTGAATATGATACATAATAATAGGAGTTATATTTAGCAGCAGGAGCTTGAAATATCTAATTTTTACTCTGGAGAGCAGCGATTAGGTAGCCATCCTGGAGACCTTAGATTCGAGTTATGAAAACAACCTCTAAATGCAAGACACAAATAATGGCTACGAATCTCTTCCAAAGTCAAAAGATAACTTCTGAAGTGGATGCCTTTCTTTTGCTTCTTTAAAAAGTATAGAATCTACAAGTACAAATAGCACCAAACCTGAGCATTGATGAGAAACTCTCCGTAAAGCTTATTCTCCCCTGTGCTTGGATTCCTTGTGAAAAGCACACCAGTACCAGAAGTGTCGCCCATATTTCCAAAAACCATGCATTGGATATTGACGGCAGTTCCTTTCAATCCTTTGATATTGTTGATGCTCCGATATTTGACAGCTCTTGGGCTGTCCCATGAATCAAACACCGCTAAAACCGCAAAATGCAACTGCTTCTTTGGATCTGCAAAACAATGCCAGAAATCACACATCTTATACCAAACAAACTCATGCCCCGTTGGATTATTTAATTATTTATTCTTCAGACATTCCAATCCACAACAACTAAGGATTACTTATCCACATTATACATACTGTTACATGAAATTAAAATTTCAACTCATCTTAATGAAAGAAAAATAAGCACCGTAATTTTGTTTCCAGCTGTTACAGTCAAATGTCAGAAAATAGAATCCAACATTTATATCTTACCTAATTTCTGTTAGGAGGTTGGTTGAAAGTATTTTTAGGTGTGATCTCTAGTTCAATATACAGTAACTTCTTAACAGGTTTTATATTGAGGAACCGTGCAATATAGATCAAAATGGATAGGAGCTATGTTGAAAGTTAAGCATATGGGCCTCTACAAATAGGATCTATAAAATTTTGGAACTAGTTTTAACTAATATGAGAATACTTTTTATTTATTTTAATGGCACGCCAATAGATGTGATGGTTGTATTGCCGACAGCTATAAACATTAGAATGTCTCCTGAACACATGCTAAATAAAGGATGCATGTATTACCATGTAGTTGATGCCAAGATCGTCAAGAAAGATCACATATGTGGAATGTGTTAGACCTTTCCAGCCGGTCAAACAGGACCGGCTTACGCGAATAGAGGCGGAAATGTCAGCCTCCTGTACGCGCCAAATGCACGCCCGGGCGTACGTGAGCTGTTTATGAAGGATTTTTGAGGGAGTTAGGAGGGAAATTTGAATGTAGGGACTGTTTAAGAATTTCCTTTTGATTTGTATGTATTAAATAGTTTGTTTTCCTAGGGTTAGGGCATCTTGAATTTGGCTGAAATTTGAGATCTCTTATATTTAGGTTTTCTTTTGGGCTCTAGCGACGTCTAGAGATTTTGGAGAGATCGATTCTCCTCTCGAATAGAGGATCAATGGTATCTTGCTATTTTCCATTTCCCTTTCATCAAATAATACAAATTATGTATTGTTTTCATGGTTTTGTGCGGATTTTTGTGGAGAATTTTCGCTATTTTCCGAAGATTGATAGAAAATACTTGAGATCTGCAAGTGTTTCTTATCAGAATGATCCTGGGATACCAGCTTGGTTAGCCCTTTTTTGGGTTTGTCTAACAGTTCCTTTACCTCCTTGGTCAAACCATAGACTGGGTTAGCTGATTTGTCAAGCCCAATCATAGAAGAGCCACTTAAATCATGGTTCCACTTTATGTCATTTCCTCCTAAGCAATAGTATTTAAGATGAGGGGGCTCTCCCTGCTTGAGGGCTATTTTGATCTTCTTTGGCCAAAAAGGTTACTATGAAAAGAGTGATGTTGCTTATTTTTTTGAGTTGAAGGGCTTCATAGTTATAATTGTGGAGTGAATCCTCTTATTTTTTTAGTTTGCCAACTTTACATATAACATTAAGCAAACATATAACATGACTAAAAGACTAAAAAAAACTTAAGGATCCAAAAATATAGACCCATATATGTCGTAGATACATGAAAACTAATCTTTGGATGATGGTGATGCCCTATATCATTTTGCTTGCCTCTGATGAATTGATTTTGAAAATGTAGCCTTTCTAATCGGATATGTTCTAATAATTTCAATCAGTCTAATAAAGTGTAGCAAACTCCTAACTAGAAATATCCAAATTGTATCTCATCTACACAAGAGGTGAGTTTTGATGAGGCCTATAAATATCTAAAAAATAGTAGCCGAGAGGATCTTTTTGGATCCATAAAAAATAATTAATTCATTTTGGACATCTCTTGATCTGTAAGAGAGATCATTAACAAAGAAGCAAGTCTTCCAATCCAACGTACACTCTTTTCCATTTCTTCCCCTCAAATTATTCCTCTCGTCAATCTCTAACCATATAAAAAGACAATTTTTTGACAACAATGACCACACACTAACCCTTAATTTGCACTATAGCAATGAGACTATAATGTATATAGCATATGTTGTAGTTAGAGTGCTGGAACAAATGTGGCAGTAGAGAGAATGCAAGAATTGTAAGAGACACCGGATTTTTTGCATGAAAAACTTGTGAAAGGGAAAAATAATAGGGTTTGGCCTAGTTAAAATGATTTCACTAGTGCTTGTCATCTATCATATGTTATGTCCCTCCTCGAGGGAAGGCGTTGATATAGAATATATGATTTGGTTGAAGTTGGAAGAACCCCATGGCTGGGGAAGCATCTTTAATAAGTCATTTGCTCGTTGTTTTGGTTGTACTCCCCAGCATCAAACATAAAATCCTAGTGCTTAAGTTGATAGCCAAATTGATGTAGAACGAACATGCGAAGGAGCTTCTTAAGAGAATTAAAAGTGAATGACAACGTAATTTCAATTAATATCTTATTGAGATAGCAAGAAAATCATTCAAAATTTCGTAGTTATCAACTAGCTTAGGTGAAGAAGTATGTAGATTAGCCAAAATCTTCAGACAACCAAAAATAGTAGCAACACTAAAAGCTATTACAACAATCCGTCATTTAATAACGAGAAGTTCACCTTGGGGAAATACTCTATATAATTAATTAATTAAGTAAAAATAATAATAATAAATGCTTCTCTCCCTCTCTTACCTCGAAAAGCATGTCGGGTCAGCGTACCACCTATGCACGCCATTGTTGAGCGTGGTAGGAGGGAATCCGGCGCGACACCCACGATGAGGTAAGTGAGCGACCCCTCGCCCTCCTGCCTCGACTTGCGTGTCGAGCCGGCAAACCACCTATGCACGCCTTTGTTAAGCGTGATAAAAGGGAACCCGGTGCGATACCTATGAAGAGATAAGAGAGCGACCCCTCTCCCTCCTGCCTCGACATGCGTGTCGAGCCGGCAAACCACTTATGCACGCCTTTGTTGAGCGTGGTAGGAGGTAACCTGGTGCGACGCAGACGACGAGGCCAGGTGAGCCTGGTGCACTCTTTTCTTAGCGTGGCCGGAACAATTCATAAGTACCCCCGAGCGAGGGAAAAACAAACTTCTCTTTTCTTGTAATAGGTACCGTCAAAGACCCCATGCACGCCTTTGTTGTGCGTGGTGGGAAGAAAGATCACGGCCGTGGTGTCCTCGAAAGAGGGCACCCACCATGCACGCCTTTGTTGCACGTGGTGGAAAATGCCCAATTTTCCGTAGTTTTCCCTTAAATGGGGGAGACGCCGGGAGGCTGCTGAAATTTCAGGTGAAATGTTACTATACTCGGACCTGTTTGAACTCAAAAAGAACAAGCATTGGGACTCAAATGAACATGAATTGAGGACTTATGGACTTTTGAACTTGATTGAACATGAGCAGAGGACCTGAACAAAACTCAAGATGATTAATAAAGGTCTAAACCAAATGAAATAAAATCAAGCTAGGATTGAGCTCAAATCAATTTGAATATGTAATTGAATATACCAGATTACTTGAACTCGCACTTAAACTCGGGCTATACGACATTGATTAGGACTTGTAAACTTGATGAATTCAAGTGTGAGTGAAACTGAACTTGGGCTCAAACACATACAAAGAACAAACTTGGATCACACACGAGGAAACTCAAATTGCAAGACCTCAATGCATGCAAATAAAGAATGCAGTGGACTCTTACAAAAGTCTCTACGAGATCGTGTTGCAAGAAGGAAATGCATGGGTATCCCTCCTATATGCACTGTTCAAACCTCCTGCGATAGTCCCTACAATTGCCTGTAGATTGAGATGGCAATACCCGCATTCAGTAGCAGAGGATCGTCCTCTACAAGCAAGTGCAATCACCAAACCACCTGAGATTGGTGAATGGTGGATTCGATGACAAAAAAATAATGGCTCTCCTACGAATACTTCTAGGAGGTCGTATCAGATACCACGGGTCCCTACAAATAAGTACAAACTGTTTTTGGATAACAACAGTGGATACATCGTAGGTGCAATGAACCACAGTGGGCACAAGTACGGATATCACCCATGACAACGGTGATTAAGATCTATAAGTATTTCGAGTACAAGGACAACTCGATATACGAAAAAGAACACCCCAAGACAGAATGGAGGAGATGTTTGAACAAATTCGAACTAAACTTCCTGATGTTCCAAAATTCCTTCTCGATCCTGTACTCAGGAAGGAAAATAACTCTGGCATCCACAAATATCAGAAATATCAAGTCCACTACACTGAAGATTTTAAAAAAGAGTTCTTTCCAAATCAGTGTTCATTGACTCCAAAGTCCAGAAAGTTCCACCCCCAGTGAATGAGAAAGAGGGGAGTCAACATCAAGGTGATAAGGTCCCTCACCGCACCAAATGTTACGCCCCTGGATCTGCAACATTTATACAAGCAGACAGAAGGCGTCTACAATCTACAATACACAACCACCGGATCTGCAATATTTATACAAACAGACAGAAGGCGTCTACAATCTACAATACACCGCCACCGGATCTGCAACACTCATACAAGCATATAGAAGGCGTCTACAAGTACCTTCAAAGTACCCCATGTGCACCGTACATTGTATACACATAGGTACACTAAATGGGAAAATATAATCTCGACCCGCATGGGCCCCAGTGTGCATGTTATTAGTACACACGTGACGTCTAGGAATGCTGCGCGGGTCAATAAATTTGAACCCGATCCTCCTAAGCAAATAATAGGAGTCGACAAGGTTCAACAAATAATTATAAAATGCCCCCCAAACACCCGCATGGGCCCCAATGAGCGTGTTATTGGTACACACGTGACGTCTAGGAATAAAGAGCGGGCTGATAAGTGAATTCAAGTTCGAACTCGATCATTCTATACGGATTAATATGAATTGACAGGGTTCGAACCATGAAATAAATACATGGTTGTGGCGACCGGTGTATTTATTTTAATGCATTCATATTAGGCCTTCAAAGCCTAAAAGCAATAGAATTCACTAACAAAAGGCACGAAACCTACGAAACCCGACCTCCTAAGCAGGTAAATAGGAATAGACAGGGTTTGAGCCATAAGAT